GGGCCGGTATTTCTGCCCACTTCAAAAAGATAAGTATCTTTGATTTTTATTACTGTTTATATTTATTTTAATCAATATTTTTAGTCGGGTAAATATCACACTATCACGCACTTATGATCAAATGCCTAGTAGAGTGTGGATTGAGACCCATCACTAGGATTTAAAGCCCTAACCTCTCAGGCACAAAGTCCTGACCTCTCAGGCACAAAGCCCTGGCCCTGACCCAGGCACAAAGCCCTGACCTCTCAGGCACGAAGACCGGTCTTAGTCATTCCTCGAGTGGCGACCGTTGCTTATGAATGGCTCACACATCCATTCTACTAAGTATTTTATCATTACATTAACAATTCACATCTCCACTTGTTTCAAGTAACGAACTCCCGATCGGGAACATAAATCCCAAGAAAAAAAAAATTATGTATGATAAATGTGTAGGTACGAAGATGACTTTACTCATTTTCACCTCGTCTCCACTCGCCTCAAAGAGTGGGGACTGGGGGACTGAGGGGTCAGAATTTCTAGATGAGCAGAAAATATCACGCAAGAGCAGGAACGAGAGCTGAGTTAGTTGAAGAGGAGCTGAGCTAGATTGATTATGCCGGAGGGGATTTACCTTCCTTGTTTCATGTTGGGGGCGCTAGGTGTACTCTTTTTCCCTTTATTAGGATTTTTTCCCACTGGGTTTTTCCTAATAAAGGTTTTTAACGAGGCACCTCCCCATAATGGACAAGGGTGGTGGTCCCCCGGCCGAAGAGGAAGAACGTTGCAGATACAGTTTGGACTACTCCCTTTCGCCTCGAGTACTCTCGACTCAGGGAGTGGGGGACTCCTGATGGATTATATGGACTCCGACCCCCCGGTACGCCGACTACTAGGCCTGGACAGCGGCCCACACACGTTTAGGGGATATCATTAATATTATTGTACATTGTTATTATTATTCAGATGTTCTAGATCAGCTTTTTATACTATCAGTCCGTTTATGTAACCGGGTCTGTCAGGCCCATATTAGAGGCCCAGACCCGGATTTTCCCTATATATACTCCTTATAGGAGGCTTGTAAACCATAACTCAATAACTCATAGTTCATACACAATACACATTTTTGTTCTTCTTCTCCATTACTCCTTTTGATTCTTGTTCAATTTCTCCTGTTTATACAATATGGGTATCAATTATCCAACAACTCATTTTAGAATAACACAAAACTCATGTTAGTAATTAACTCATAATATGTAATAAACTAACAAATACTCATCTTAAAATTAAAAACAGAAGAACAATTAAAAAATTAATAACTAAAATATTTTATGCGCAAATTAAAAAAAAAACTTAAGTTAGAAGGTTGATTGAAAAAAGAAGAAGAAACAAACTCAAACATTAAATAATATTTTATATTATACATTTTAATGATAATTGAATGAAAATTAAAGCATGCTAAAAAATAAAGAAAAGAAAGCATTTTTAAACAAAAAGAAAGAATTTAAAAAGAAAACAAATAAAGCTTTGAAAATTGAAAAGCAATGAAAAACTGAAAAGCAAAGAAAGAAAAGTGGAAAGCAACGAACAAAACAAAAGAGAAAACAAAGAAAGTACAACCAACCAACGGAAGCCGGAAGGAAGAGGACACGGCAGGAAGAGAGCCGATGGAAAAATAAAAACATTATCAACCATTAACCTAACTCTTACCCTAAAGGTTGTATTTAATTACAAAAAAACCCGACTGTACCATACTCTAGGTACAGCCGGTTGTACAATAGTATTTGCCCCCTAACCCCCTTTTTATAATAAAGCTCTCCTAAAAAGGGCCAGCCCTGACTTAAGTTCTTGGGCCTAGAACCCTATTATTGAAAAACATTAAAATACCCAAATAAATGATAGTGTCCGGTTCCTAACACAAGGACAGGGAACAGCAGATCACACCAATCAAGGAAAGGGCAATTCTATTTACAGTCTCATTTTTACTAAATACAATCCCATATTTTCCATGATTCCTATTATGTCCTTAATAATACCCGACTTAGTACAGCCTCCCAGCCAAATCACATTTGTAATCCGTTTCATGACTACTTTCATCCGGTCAAAAGTCTAGATCTTCTATCTTATCTCTCTGCTTCTTCTTCCTTTGCAGGTCTAGTCTCCGTTCGAGATATTCCTCTTCTCCACCATCCTTTTTTGTTTTCCATTCTTATTCTCTTTTCTTTTTTCCAATTTCCATCATCAAATCTTCCTCGTGTCTTCGATGAGCCTCCATCATTTCTTCCTCATGTCATCGATGAGCCTCCATCATTACATCAGCATATGTCTTCACCTCTCTAACGTTTAAAAACTGTACTGGGGCTGTAAATAATAGAAACTTGAGACTGTGCGATGAACCTAACTTTTCGTATGTGAATCAAGCGCCTTGATTTAAAAACTATAATAAATTAAAGCTTAATTTAAAAAACAAACGGAAGAATTTGGAATCGAAACATTATTGCAAGCATGGTACGTTATTTCAATTCATGGAAGGAAGAATCAAGTGACGATTACAAATCCAACCAATATTATCGGAAATTTTGCATGATTCTTGAGAAAATAGATGGGAAAAAAAAAGATGGAAGCCATTGATCATTTTAGAGTTCAATATTGGATTTCTATATTGTATAAGACCGGACGGAACAGACTACATAAACGTGATTTGCTACGAGAGGCGATATTAAGTTAGGGTATTATATTAAGGACATGAATGGAATTATGAAAAATATGTGATTGTATTTAGTAAAAATGTGGCTGTGAATAGAATTACCTTCAAGGAAATATGCTAACACAAACCTCCTAGAAGACGAGGAAGTACTGATGGCAACCGGAAAGCAAGAAGACAATGGTCAGATTCTAACTGATATCCGGAGAAAGAAGATCAACGATGCTGCGAAGAACAAGCTAGGCACCATCAAACTAGCGACCATATAAGACAGCAATCTCGGACAGATGAAAATGAAATGGCATCCGTCCGCCATGGCCAAAACGGAGCAGATGTCTAAAGAAGAAGAAAACTCAAATTGTTGAAGAACCGGCTAGGCACACCAAGCTAGCAGCCAAAAGGATGAACAAATTCAAGCGAATGAGACCCCAGGTGTCCCTAGAGTAGCAATCCAGAGCTCTACTCAGTAAACAAAGTCCCGGCGAACCAGGACCTTTAACTATCAAAACCAACGTCCTGCCGAAGGCCACATACTCCAGACGCTGAGAAACTTTCGCCCTGGTAAATCCAACATGAAACAAGGAAGGTAGCAACAAGTTCAAAAGGAGCATGTGCTCGTTTATTGACTCGGGGACTTAAACTAGTTCGATGATGTTTTGCAAATTGACATGAATCACACTGTAAAGATGACACCTTATTAAATTGAGGATGAAAAATAAGAGTGAAGAGTGGTTCATATTTATAGGCTCGTTATTGCTCGTAACGAGAGCTCCCCTCTTCTCATTCACCTTTTAATACTAAGTGAAGAGTGGTTCATATTTATAGGCTCAAAAGTTCCCAAGGAGTTTAGGTGTGAGAAAGTTTAAAAGATTCCTTTTTCTCCTATACTTGAGAAGAGCATTTTTTCCATCTACCTTCTTTAAGAGCTAGTTTTTGAGCCACTTCAAACTTCAAAGTCCAAAACTCCAACACCAAAGGTCAACACTACAATCAAAGCTTCCAAGAGTCAACCTTGAGATAAAAAAAAAATCAAGGTTAAGACTATTTTTCTCAAACTCCAAGCTACATCTCAACGTCCATGAATTTGCAGAAAATTTCAATCAGCCTCACGTCTACGGTCAACATTCAACAATCAACAATGGATGTCTCTAACTCATCAATGTGTAAGAACAAATGCGCTAAAGTTTCTGATGAGTCTAAGATAAGCAAATCTGACAGTCAACAAATAATCACGTCTACTTTAATGAGAACTACCTGTAAAAAGAAATACATTTTTCATTATATCATATAATGAAAAAGGTAGAAAAATGGATAACTAAATTGACAGTGTTTCCCTTACACCTGTTTGCCCAAATGAAGAAAGACATTAAATTTAACTCAATCTATGCTCATTGATGTATAATTCAGGTTTAAAAAATACATCCCATTTTAACGGAGTTCAACATTCAGGCTGATTCTTGGAGGCAAAACTTTCAATCTAGACATTCAATCAGTTTTAATGGGGCCAATGCAAATTAGAAATGATTGCAAGGGTATAGCTTTGAGCTAATGAAATAAAGGTGAATCTCTTGAATATTTGTCTCATTAAAGTAGACGTGATTATTTGTTTGTCTCATTAAAGTAGACGTGATTATTTGTTGACTGTCAGATTTGCTTATCTTCGACTCATCAGAAACTTTAGCGCATTTGTTCTTACACATTGATGAGTTAGAGATATCCATTGTTGATTGTTGAATGTTGACCGTAGACGTGAGGCTGATTGAAATTTTCTGCAAATTCATGGATGTTGAGATAACAAAAGTTGTATGAAAGGATGAAATAACAAAATTATACGTATTACTTCACTTTTTAACACGGTAGTATTTTGATACAATGGTCTTAATGAGTTCAAAACTAGACATATAATCTATCTATGTCCTTGAAACGAACATTGAATAATCTATTTGCAATTAAAAAGAATAATCTAAATAGACTAGACAAAATAAACTTTTACAAAAAATATTGGGCCAGACTGGTTCGATGCAAAGAATATTTTTAAAAAAACTTTTACACAAAATTTTTGACTTAAAAATCAAAACATTTTTTAAATTTGGGGTGACAAGGGCCTACGTTGGCACTCCCGTAGATCCGTCCATGGACCAGTGATGCACCCGACCCGAACCATTGTCATCCATGTGGTAGTGCCCCCGCTTTAGAAAACTTCTGGGTCCGCCACTGTTGATGATGATGGTGATGATGATTATGATAATAAAAATTTAGGAACACATCTACTTATATATAATTTGTGAAAGGAAGTTATCTTGGGCTTTTTTCCGTTGCTACAGTCCGACGGGAGTATTTGTTTTGCGCAGCCATCAACTAACGGGCAACTTCCGTTTTCTTCCCTTTTCTTTCGGCCAACGCCATTTCAATTTACCCGGAAAAACAAGCCAAGCGGAGGAAACGATTAAAGTTGGGCTGATTGACGCATAAGAAATATCTCTGACAGGCTTCTAACCTCCTCCACTTGATCTCTGTACGCTCCTCCTTTACACCGTTTACTTGCTTGCAGCTGGCTTGTACAAGATGGGGTGAGGTCCTTTCATTCTTTCGTTGTTCCGTCCTCTGCGCTTGTTTTCTCTTTGGCTCTGCTTGCCCAGCTCCAAATCTGTGAGTTTTCTTGCTGTTTGCTTATATTTTGTTCGCTCTCTCTGTACCATCTTTTGTGTGTGCTGCGGTTGACCACCGTTCGCTTTTGGGTTTCTTGGTTTAGACGGTTACTGTGCATTTTGCTGTCTTTGCTTTCTGTTTCTGTCTGGGTACCCCTAGGTTGTGAACCTGATTGTATTTCTTCGGTGAGGCCGTACTTATGATGGGGTTTTTCGGGATTTTTTCCCCGGGTTTTGATGCTGCGGTGTTGGGAAGCCTGTATTTTGGTCTTTTTAGGCCTGCTTGGCTGCTGTTGCGATGGTGTTGTGCGGTGTTGCAGCCGCGCCTTCTTTTTAGATAAAATTATAGGGCCTCCTGTATTTTAGCTGCTGTCTTTTGGTCTTTTTAGGCCTGCTTGGCTTATTCTGGTCTTTACTTTGCTCTTCTTTGTTACTCATCCTGTGCAGCATGCCCAAAGAACATGTCATTCCATTATCCAGACGTTATGGGCAGCTCCTTGGTTTGGTGCATGATCAACGACCAGGATGTTGAATGCGCGGTAAGGTCATTATGCTTGTTACCTTTATTTTCAATATCTGGTTGGTGCTTAGAGTACTCATTCCTGTTTTTTTTTTCTATTTCTCTTTTCTATAGCAAATACCTCCCTTCATGCACCGCCGTATGGATTCATTGTATGCTTATTGTTCTAATTTGCAGATCCTAATTGGTGTATAGATACTACGGCGTATATTTTTCTTTAATAAATCTCTAATATGCAGGAATCATCCTTTCCACATTCTTTTGCAGTGAAATCATTTTTTGTTATGCAAGTATTTATCATCAGTGGTTGTTTTAAAATTGTCATGCACAGATGGCAAAGGTTTCTGGTTAAAGTGGATGTTGCTGCTTTTGAAGATAAGTCGACAATGTGAGAGGAGGTAAAGAATGTTTCTCCTAAATAATTCTATTCAGAAATGGTAAGGTTAACATGAAATTATATCAATATGTTGTAAATTTGTTATTTCGCCAATTATATAAACCAAAATGCTCTTTACCATAGGTATCAAAGAACAAAATGGCTCTACACCCACACCTGTTACCCAATATGTCAGAGTTTCTGCCTTGGATGGCTACACTGAATAAGAGAAGACCAAAATAACAGCTTTGAGAAATGGCTCAATTAGGCCAATAGTTCCCGCTTTTGTGAAAAAGCCTGAAACTCCTCCAAGCAACAATAGCCCACCCATGGATTAAAATGTTGGCCGTGAGTATATAAAGTTTGTTTTTCTTGTTCTCTTGTGATGTCTGGATAAAATTTTGAACTTGAGTTTGTGCATCATGTGCTGAAACTCCTCAATATGCACTTTCTGAACTTGAGTTTACTAAACCACTCATGTAAATATGGAACAGAAGAGGAAAAGAAATGGTGACACCATGGCGACTTCGTAAGAACTGTGTTTTAGATATATGTGATGTAGACTTGCTTCTCTTACTCCCAATCAATTCTAAGGAACTTATTTTATCTATCCGTTCCCTGCTTGTATCCTCTTTCTCTTTCCCTTACAATATTTTGAATGTGTTTGTATTTTATAGAAGCCGTGAATTTCTTTGGCAAACAGGCCACACTTCTTTTATGAATGTGTTCTAATACTTAATTGTTTTATATTGAATGGTTATTTGTTTTGATGCATGTGTGAATGTTTGTGTGGGAAACATGGGGAAATATGAAACTAGAAACACCAACTTTTAGCAAAAAACAAGTGTTTGATGAATTTCTGAAGTGTTTCTGAAATGGACACATCCTCTTTCTCAAGAGTTTCATGCTTCATAAGTATTACTTGTCCCTTCCAAAATCTTTCAACCGAACAAGGACTAAAAAGACTTATTTAAGCTCCAACTCTAACCCATATCTTTTTTGTAGCTCAGTGCTTTGTCTGTTTTTGTGCGACAAACAAATATTGTGTGGCTGGTATTCATAGCATTCACAGGGATTTTAGATTATACTCTTGATCGTCAGAAGGAAAACATGGAGTATGCTGTCTCCAATGATCTATGGGATGATCAGATTGGGATCAAACATGAGAAAACGAAGAGCTGTTACTAATCATGCTAATAAAAAGAGCCATTTGATTAGCCATACAACTCACAGTTCCCCACATCATGCATCAGGTCAGTAGTCAAATAACTTTTTATTCAGCGATTCCATCAAAAGCAGATCTTGTTATAGATACCCCTTGAAGAATTGTCATTTTGAATTTGCATATTCTTAGGGGTGTCATTTAGGGCCCGTTTGGCAAGGGTTATTTGCCTATAGGACTACGTTTGCTTAATTTTCTGAATGGATAGCATTTGGTAAAATCAATTTCAGCCCAATAAGTCAATGGATGCATATTCTGATTATTTTGCAGCATAAGCCCATTAGAGCTTCCAAACAGAACCTTAGTGTATGGTTAGCTGATGGTGACCGATCGTTTTTTGGAATTTGCAGAGTTGTTTGATGATATAAGGGCAATTATTTCATCATCCTGGAATATGAAGTGGGATCTTTTGGCTTCTTTTAGTTCGTTCTTTATCACTTTGGTGGTTTTTGTCATTTTTGTTCACTGGAATGGGAGTATAGTTGTAGGTATCCAAACTATTTCCCTCTGATTTTTTATTTTTTTTTATATATTTTTGTTACAAGGGTTAATTTGGAGTTCATTCCTGAAACTTCCTTGCAGGTGCAAAGGAAGCTCATGCTGTTTCTCCCCATTTTGCACAGGTCCTGTATTTCAGTTTGGTTTCCGCCCTTTTTATGCCACCTGTCCACTTCTCTTTTGCACAATTTTTACTGCTAGCTCAATTATTCTGGAAAAATAAACTGATAAGCCTCTTCAAGTTGTCCATAGCCATGACTGTTGGCTTCATATCAGTGCACTTTTTCAGCTAGGTGAAGCAGTAAAAATAACACTTCCTTTGCTCCATATTATCTCTTTACATTTCTTTTGGTCTATCCCTAAATAATGTCTACTTTCCTAATTTGAACACTACAAAGTACAAACTTTGACTTTTCTAAATCTACCATTTCTCCCCCCTCCATCCCTGTTACTTTTTTTAAACTGATTTTGTACAATTGGTTCCACTGGAAGGACAATTTAGTGAAACGAAATAGATATTTTAACCTGTATACATTTAGACAGAGGGTTTAATTGTTAATATGTAAAAAGTCAGTTTTAGACATGAAGTCTTACTACTAATTTTTTTAGTAGAGCTTTGAATAAAAGCTACCTGTACTATATGTGTGTGGCATTATTATTTAAATTTACTTATTATTCGTTACACTGTGAGCTTTGATAAAAAAAATTGCAAAAAATGAGGTAATATAGTTTTTAAATAGATTAATCACCAACAAAGTACAATATTCATTTTGTTTTCGAAAAGATAGAATACTAATAAGTTTGAAATCACAATCACTTACAAGTGAATTATATTTGTTAAGAACCTATCACAAGATTAACAGAAAGATGAGAAGGCTATCACAAGATAAACAGAAACATGAATAGCTATCACAGCTACCTCTTTTCATGAAACGTGATAGCAAAAAAGAGAAGGCTACTGCTGTTATAGCTGAAATGAATATTCCTTGAGATGCATTAACTTGATTAAATAAATACACTGCGGGGAGGGGGGTATAAATATTTACAGGATATTTATGATAATTATTTTAATGCGGCTTGCAATTTTATTTTTGAAAAAAAATAAGGTTTTGACTTATTGGGAATGTCACAAAGGCCTTTTTATTAGATTAAAGGAGCATGCTTTTTCAAACCTGTAAAAAATAAGTAATGCTGCTTTGGTTGACATGTTTGGCTCCCCAGCAAATGAGTAACAACTGCTCTATAATGTTTACAAGGGATTGAAGTTATGCTGCTTTGGTTGACATGTTTGGCTCCCTAGTATCATGCATAAAACAATCGTTCCCAAATGCTTTTAACAACGTTAAACTGCTGTATTTCTTGTTGATTTCCGCTGTTAGACTCTTTCTTTTTGCTCATGCGAATATTAAACTGTTGTCTTTTGATGTGGTATCATGCATTTTGCTGTTTGCTATATGAACACCAATAAACTGTTGTATTACTTACTGATTTCCCCTGTTAGACTTTTTTTGCTTATGCGGAGATTAAACTGCTGTCTTTTGAAATTGTTCTTCGATATTTTTCTGATTTCACTTTTGCTTCTTTCGCTTATTATTTTTATCCCCTATTGGGCATTGACCCTCGCGCAAGGCGCGAGCCAAAGCTAGTATTGTCTACATAGATACTAAAATTGGGCATTATCTTCTCGCGCAACACGCGTTATTATAACTAGGTGTTGTCTCGCGCGTTGCGCGAGTATACTGGTGCCCAATGTAATTTATAGTGTGTAAACCTTTTAAAAATTACTTCATTTGTACAAAGTCAAAAAGATGAATTGTCCATTGTATTTCACCTAGATGATGTGAAGTTTGAGTTTGTCCCTTTTTAACTTATAGGTGTATGAAGTCTCATGTTAGGGGGAACACATTCTAAACGCAATATCGAGTGACTTTGAGAATAATGAAAAGCGAGTACATTAAAAAATTGTTGATATCCTAATGCTTATTCAGATTAAGCGTTTTCTTCAAATCATGCTCATCTAACTTGCCTTTCTGAAGCACTTCTATAGCTTGGCTTGATCGGCACAACAACAACCAACTTTTTGTTGGGCTACACTTCCGTTGGATGGCGTCACAATAGCATACATAAATTTAGTACTAAAATTTCCATATGTAACACAATACACAACATATATACTCTCTTCGTCCTTTTTTATTTAGCCAAATTTAATTTTTGAAGTCAATGATGTCATACTTTGACCGATTATACAATTATACATGATATTATTGATAATATGAAAACGTTATGTGTTAAAAATACTATCATAAGAGTAAAGATTTAGTAAGTTATAAATACTCAGTCGAAAAAGCCTGAGAAGAAATAGCTAACATTCAATTTTGTCCTCCGTAGTCGGCATCTGCAATAGCCGTCAAATAAAGAGAAGCCTTATTTGGAAGCATAAGATCACCTGTAGCAATAGAAGATGATAAGGCCTCCCTAAAATAAAACACAAACACTGCCTTATGCTCATATTTTGCATTAAAAGTAGATGAATTATATGATAAACTATTTGATGGGCATTTGCTTGAATTTCAGGTTCTCAGTTTTCTTGAAAGCTATTTAGGGTCATTTATGTGAAAGTATAATTAACGTTTCTTTCTTGGGCGCATCAACAAATAATGCATGAAAACTTCATAAACGAATCTTTTTCAACGGCTTCTATTAAGTACTCCCTCCGTCCCTGAATTTACTTCCAACTTTCCCTTTTCATCCGTCCCAAAAAGAACTTCACTTTCCCTTTTTGGCAAAGAATTTGTGGTTCACAGCATTTCTCTCTCCTCTGCACAACTCTCTACCACACAATTCTCACTTTCTTAATCACCGTGCCACTTTAATTTCGAAGAACATTTAGGAACGGAGGGAGTATCATTGTGTGGTTGCTTCAAAAGCTAAAAAATTAAAAGTCTTTATCATGTTGTAAATGGAGCAAGTGTAGTTGCAAGCAAATGACATTATCTTTTTGTTTCAACCTTCCCTCAACTTGATAAGTTATTAATGTAGTCTAGGTAAATAAATACTTCTCTTTGTCATTTATCACGTCTCAAGTACTTTTAAATTTGTTATGGAGTCTGTCGTATGTTGAAATAAGGTCAATCATTTAGTGAACATAAAATAATTTATATTAAATATTATCATGCATTGAGAATACAAATAAGAAAAAAGGCACTAAGATTTAAAGAAACATCAATAAAATAGAAAATTTTATGGTCATATATTTAATCATTATCTTAGCAAATTCCGGTTTATTAAAAATACAGAAAATTTAACTCCTCAATAACATACCATGTACTTTGTTACTGGTTTCGCCTTCTAGAGTTTATACACATGAGCCACCTAAAGTTACACAAAATTCAGCTCCTCAATAACATACCATGTACTTTTTCATTAAAGGGTTTACATTTGAAGGGGTGTGTTGGGGTATCCTAAAAGATTAAAGGGTGTACACCCCAAATCCCTAATAGAACTTCTTATTCACTTATGCACTTTCATGTATATTATCCTTTAATTTACCAGCCACTTAACTGAACTAAAAGATAGTAAACAGACTTGAAGTACGTTTAAAAGAAACGTTGTGGGGCCACATCCCAATACATCCATTACTATGTTATCATTTTGTTTTATATGTTCATTAGGAATCTCATTTCTTCTACTTAATTGAACAAACTTTTAATCATTTTAAACACTAAAGTTTTTCAGAGGGGTACATATAAGTAATGACTATTGACATATTCAATGATGAAATTGGCAATCAAAGAGGCTGTATATATTTTTCTTAAAATCAAATACCAATGTAAGGTACTATATATCAATCTAGTGCCAGATATGGAAAATGACATAGATGAAGTTAATATATGGAAAGAGTCACACTTGGAGGATGCTTAGTTGCTTACCACTATGCAAATATGCTGGTAAAGGTTCAATTTGTGTCATTGATTGTAAGACTGCGTTGAATATCCAAATAGTTAGTAAACACCCTCAAGCAGTATTTGGAAATGTGAGGGTATAGAAATCAAATGGATTAATAACTAAACCAATGATGGAGATAGTTCTAATAGCCTAATATATTTAGGAATCTTCCTAATATATATTTGGGAATCTGCCTAATATCTATTTAGAAATACTTTGTATTTTGGCAACTCTTCTATTATAAATATATCTGTTAGGGCTCCTATTGGAGTACCCCTTTCCCATTATTTCACATGGTATCAAGAGCTTAGGTTTTAGATACAGTTTTTTTTTCTTTTTTTTCGGTTCCCATGAACCCTAGTACAGCCGCCGCCGCCTCGGGGTCAACTGCCGTCACATCTACGGCAGTTTGCGATCCTTTGAGGATGAGCGCGGCTGATATGGCGCAGATCACCTTCTCCGCGTCGCTGACCACAGTGCTTGCTTCCAGTGTCCACACAACGCACCGTTGAGTTCGCTGCTTGTTGCTGCAGACATTGATTCTTTAGATATATTTACTAAAAGTTTTTTTTGTTCGCAATTTCATTTTTAAAAGACAATCTGCGCGTTGTATCTCCCGCACAGTTTGAGGGGGTGTAATAGCCTAATATATTTAGGAATCTTCCTAATATATATTTGGGAATCTGCCTAATATCTATTTAGAAATACTTTGTATTTTGGCAACTCTTCTATTATAAATATATCTGTTAGGGCTCCTATTGGAGTACCCCTTTCCCATTATTTCACAAGTTCTGCACACAAACCATGAAAAATTGAAGGAAAAGTTGAAAATGTTTCAGCCTTAAAACCCAATTTTAAGATAATGGAAAAAATCGCTAGAAAATATACCAGGTGATTATTCTCTGAAGTTATAAACGTCATTGTGTGCACTGGAACTGAGGAAAGCGGGTGTGTTTTGACCCTGCAGCTGAAACTAGAATTGAGCCTGTCCAGGTGAGCAAAAGCTTCCGCGAAGCGACAGGGGTTTCTTCTCTGGTGGCCAGGGATGCGCGCGGTGGTTTCCAAGGCAGCACAGCGATCATCGAAGACTCTGCTCCATCAGGGACAACTTTTCAGGACAACGCCATCTCAGGTCGTCGCTTCAAGCTAGAGACCAGCAACTTAGATTCTTTAGTTGTATGCTAGGTACTGCTTTCTTAGATTCTCCTTAGAGGACATAACCATGCCTGCAACTTGTCCCAAAGGAAAATTAATTAAATAAATAACATTTTGACACAATTTTCTTGGATTTCCAAAGGAAAAAATAAAATCTAATACTCCAAGAAAATTATGTCAAAAAGAATAACAAATCGGAAGCTGATGTAGTAAGCAAGCAGTATTAACATCTTACATGGAAGCAATGCCTTCTTCTCTGATATATTCTTCTATTCAATACTTTGGTTAACTTGGGAGCCATATCTCTGTCATAGAGATTACTGTCATTTAGAATTGTTGAATAAGTAAGGATTACCCAGCTTTAATTTGTCTTGACTTCTAATGAACTAAGCTTCTGTAATATATATTATTCTAAACTTCTCTTTTATTACATGTTTATATGTCATGTTTATTTAAGGTACTTGAGCTAGCTACAATTTCTCTAGGATACTATACATTTGTAATTTTGAGATGCATTTGCAATTGCCAACCTATCGTAAAAACTTATAAAAGCCAATGAGGATTAGGGCAAAAAGAGAATTGAAAAATGTGTTGCTGTAACCTATTGTAATATTGTTGAGAACAGAAAAATAAAGAACCTTCGAAAGATTTTTCTTCATGCAACGCCACGTGTTTGCTGCTCTAATCTTTCTTTCCCAGTAACCTCTTCTTTCAGAGTTCAGGAGTAACATCGTAATCATTCTCTTTTGGAGGTTTTCGGGATCCACTGTATATGTTTCACTGAACAGGATCACACTCTTGACCTGCCACACAAATAACAAGTCGAAATTTTCATAAGTGACAATGATACATGATGGAAGTTTTATTATGTGATATTATTATGTCATTAGTAGGATTAAGCATCTGGGACGAAATAACTCTTAGCACTTGTTCCAAATACTTTCCTTAAAACATTACAACAGATAAGTTTCAATAAAAACACAAAATACAGTCGAGAACATTTCAATTCATGCTAATGCCATAATGATATACAGAGTATCCTACATTCATCATACTATGGAGTTAGGGGTGTACTTTATGACAAATTAGATAGGATCTCAGGGAAGCTACATATAGCTAACCCTTAAAAGAAAGAAATCACTACCTCAAATGTTTTGCCACATGCATATGGGATTTCAAGAGCAGCCACACATATCTGGGCAGTTCCTTCCCTAGATATCTTTCCCTGCACATGTTCATATAAATAAAATATATCAATGTGGTAAATATTCAGAACTAAACCTGAATGAACAACTGAAGAGTTCATACTGTTATATTGTCTCCTTGATAAAAATGAGTTCAACACTGGCAGGTTCTTCCGACAAAGCACAGGGTCTCACTATTGTACATAGTATTCCACTTTCCCTAATGAAATCCTCTCCCTGACAGAAATTAAAGATATAATTGAAGGATGTAAGCTAACATAAACTGAGATAAGTAATAGAATAACCATAACAATTAAAGTTAAGGAAAGGCACAAATCACCTATAACTTAAATGTCAAAATGAACCCAAGTTCCTTGTTCAAACGCACAAGTTTAGTTGATTAGAAGTCAAGACAAATTAAAGTTGGGTCAACGGTGCAGCCCCAGAGGGGATCCCACAAATTAGCTTCCTTACGCCTTATGGGTTTTCTAGCCCGTTGACTCGCACACATGTCAGACTCCTTTGTCCGTGTTTCAAGACGGGTCAAATGGAGTCACTTATTCAACAACACTAAATAAGAGTTAAGCTTATATATGATTTGGAGCTTATAACCTCTATTTGAGAAGATTTGGAAATTTTTGAAAGAAAAGGCAGGATTTTTTGCATCGATAAGATATTAACTGTGAATCATTTTTACTGCTTCATTACTTTACAAAGTTGCGCTAACAAAATTTATGGGGGGTTGGAAACTTAGAATAGCAACACACACCACACAATCATCCCAAAAAAGAATAAAGTAAAGAAAACGTCTCTTGTAGAGATTTTCTCAAACACGTATAACTATCAAACCAAGTCATGGGTGGTAATATTCAATCAGTAAACTGATGAAAGAAAAATTGACCACCTTCACAACTGCTTCATTACTTTATAAAAATGCTCTAACATAATTTATGGGAGGTTGGAATATCAACACACACCACACACTCAGATAGTCATATGGATGAATGCAAATTATCTACCCCCATTAACTAATGTGGAAAGTTTATATATAATGAAACTACATCCTCACGGAAAACAAGATAGACTCTACAAACCCGGTTTAGGAAGTATCAAGATGTTGAGTTAAAATTAAAATTTGAATCAATAAAATTAGGAATTCAGGCTTACCGTAAAAACACTGATTCTGAGGAGATGGAAATGTGGTGTCTAGTTTGCTTAACATTGTAGTTGATAGAGAAGGAAGTCAGGTTTTGTCTGTTGAGTTTCGCCATCAGGTGCGGATTAGTTGGAAATTTAAGAAGCAGACGGAAGATGGAAGGAAATACAGAGAGACGAGCTTAATCGTTGTTTCATTTATTTGACGGGAGCTTCAGGGATATGACGGAAGAAATACATGGTACAACAACTTCAACCCAATATACAACCTAATAATGCTATAGAGTTACACCAACAAAAATCTATTCTCAAAAGGGTATAACTCTCATTGAAGTTTATAAGTTTTTAGATTCATACAACTCATTTATTCATAATGGTAGCCCCTACATATCTATAGATATGTGGCAGCCTCCCATGTGCTAAACCTCATCATGCAAATATTCATTTACATATACATATCATTCATACATGAGTTAGAAATGTCCATTTTAACATAATATCACATTTATACCTCTTTACTCCATATTTATCAATATGGTATAAATTCATGATCAAGTCCATTACTTATCATTCATATCATGTTCAAGCATCTTTACTTATGAAAACATGATTTAAGCATTTAGGTAATCTCATGCATAACCTACAAGTTGTAAGCAACTACATGTCGTCCTCACCTTAAAGAGCTTTAGACTTCCTTTCACGCTCCAACGACCAAGGCTCGGCCAAGGAAGGTTGCGAGCTAACTCCTTGCGTAAAAAAAATGGGTGGGCAGCAGCCTTCTCTTAGCAGCTGGCTCAGCAGCCGGCTCTCAGCAGTGGTCTCCACCTTCCTACCACGAAACTAAACAGTCCTCTAGAAGAGGTGTTTCCCGGCGAGTTCACTTCCTAACCGTTCAAGGTTCATTTAAGGTTAGTGCCTAACCTTTAAACTCACATATCTAACATATCAAGAATACATTCTACCCTAAGAACAAGGTAGAATAGCCTCCTAAACCTTACATACGATCTATGTAAAGAAGAGGAAGTTTTCGGGTTCAACTCACCTCTAGAGAAGAAGAAACCCTGCTGCGAGTTTGTACTTTCCAACGCAGATTTGGAAGCCTTCCACAACTCCGATCGTCGCGATCTACACCATTCCAGAATCCTCGTTTTGAGATCTTTCTCTGGACACCTCACACTCCTGATTTGAACGAGTGAAGCTTAAGATATGGGCTGAACAATCAACCCTACGCACAGTGACGAAAACTGCGAACTGCTCTCTCCTTTCTCTCTTTCTTTGTTCTGATCGGTTCTCTTCTCTTAGAAGCCAAGTAAATTTGAATGGGGGTACTAAGTCCGTCCCTTAGGCCTCCTAAAAAGGTTATTCCTTTTGTGTGGAGTGGGTTGAGTGAGGTGTGGATGATTCTCCACCAAGTCTTACTAAATAAGTGCAAATGGGGTCCAACCCTTATCATTTTATTCTCTACACAACCCCACTCCATCATGGTCCGCCCCAAAAGTCAACATACCATATTCTCTTTGGCTCGTAAGTGCCAAGAAGGTGTGGGACGCACCCCCTTCGGTCCAAGTCAGCCTGGAAGGAAAATCCTTACTGATAATTCCTTACGAAGGAAAATTGAGTCTTATTATTTGTGTCTTCGTAGTGTGATTTCTCTCCATATAATATCGGGCTCTTATACTAACCAAGATGGCCCACATCAGTATTTGGAAACTCACTCTCGAAACACGGATCCCAACCACAAGTTACATCAAACACTACTCGTTTCACACAATGTCAAAGCATGAGTTACATACGATAACACACGTATTACACACGGCTGGTGATAATAAGTTCAATACATAAATTACGAAACTTTCAAACAGTACATTCAGGTACACACGGGTGCGGTGTCACAGTTTCCCTAAACCCAATGTTAACTTTTTATGAAAAACAATCTTTGTCACTGCTTATCACATTAACATCAACATGAACACTGATATATAATCCAGAAACAATAATACTTCATATGAAAGAACAACTCAATGATGATTTAACTTATTGTGTTTCGTATGTTATGATCATGAAACAATAAATAAAGCAACAATCTAGCATCTGAGTACATCTCAAGCTTCAGGATCTTCTAGCAGAATTGTTTCTTTGCTATTCCTCAACATTCTAAATCCGGGTGATTGAGATCAAACTGCTTATTACGGTTTTGAGACCTGCCAGATTAATCACATGGGTTACAAAGATATTAAATATTCTCAACTATTTCATGGAATTTAAAGTAATAAATAAATTACTTAGTTAAATGTAAAATATTGAATATGAAATATTAAGGAGAATTTTCATCTCTCTAGCTGAGAAACTTGACATGATCTTGCATTATGTCCAACCTTCTTGCATTTTCCACAACGTCTAGCTTTCTCAGATGGATGCTTAAGACGTGAACCTCAACCTCTAATTTTTGTAGACTTTGGATCTTTCACAACAACTTGTTGTGGTTCAGAGGACACTATTGATGGTTGGTTTGTATTTTCTCCTCCATCATCCATATGTACTAGGTGATGCATTGCACCCTTTAAGACTTCTGCAAAATAGTTGCTTCGTTCTTCAGTTAAAGATGCCGCGTCAACAACCTCAAAAGCAGACGACCTTAGTTACACCCGCCTTGCCCACAATTTCTTACTAACAAACGAACCAGTTGCATGCTGATAAACTGGGTTTATTTTTTCCTTTTTCGTCCAACGATGAAGAATGTATCGTTCAGGCAATAACAACACCTGCTCAAGCCTCATCCATATGAGAATATGTCGGCAAACAATCCCCATAAATTCAAATTTTTGACAACTACAACCAACAAAATCCATGGATATGTCATACGTCAGTGTATGTGTCGTAGAACTAGAATTTGAATTAAGATCATATCTTTTGACATCATAGATCTTGGTTTCAGCAGAACTAGATGTCATGTGGCAAGTGTAAAGAGCACACTTCTCCAATTCTTTCTGGAACTTACAAAAAATGGCCTTTGTGTACATTTTTGCCATTTGTCTTTCCATTAAATAA